ATCGAAGAAAGCGAAAATATGACAAAGTCCTTGAAACAAACGGGAGGCGCAGTTATAAAAGATTTAGTACCGTTCGTTAGTCAATATACGCTAAATGCAATATGTGGTATTGTATCGAATTCCTATAACTATACATAACTTTACTACTATTGATTATAAATATATTGTAGAATGCAATTTTCTTGGGTCAAATATTAACAAAAACAATATATTGATTAATACGTTTATAAAAATTCTTTTAGAGAAATTACATTCAAAATTGGTCAATTTCAGACTGAAAATTACTTATTTTGAGTATTATAAGCACTGTTCTTTAGTATTACAATCACTATCTTTCATTAAATATTAAATTTTTCTGTAAGAGACAGATGCTTATGGAACATATGTATAATAAAATTAGATATCATAAAACTTATGTACAAATGCATTTGCAGAAACTGCTATGGGTACTTCATTAGAAAATCATGGTGCAGTTCAGGAACAGTATCGGAAAGCGGTTATACGCATGAGTGAAATTTATATTTATAAGTAATTTATGATTATAATTGTTTATATGTTTATAGGTTGATCATAGATAAAATATATATACATTTAAAAATAAATATTGCTTAAAATTTTAAGTACTAAGATAGATATCATAGAAAATAAAACAAAAATATGAAAATATGGATTTTTAACTATTTAATCTTTCATTTCTGATTGGAAAGTTAAAAAAATGTAATACATAATTTTAATAAATAAAATTTATACATAAAATTAATACATGTATTTATATGTCCTTTTGGCATACTTTTATTGTTGCAAATCTATTCTCTCTTTACATAGTTATTAAAATTTAGTTTTCAATTTCTCAGAATGTATAAAGAAATTAAATAATTCTCATTTACGAAATTATATTATTTTAAAGTAGCATGTCTATTATTTTATAATTATTGTTTAGATTAACGTGGCAATGGCTGTACCCCACGGATTGGATATTCTCGTTAACGTCAATAGGCAGAGAGCAAACAAAGGTTCTGAAAATATTACATGGATTTACTGAAAAGGTATTTAAATATTATCTATATTGAAAACTTACGATAAAAATTTTATAACTTTTGTATAAAAATATTGCAAGATAAATCAGAAATGTGTTAAAAACACATTGCCAATGCATTTAATAAATTGGTAAAAAAACATTAACCTCGTATTTATTACATAGATTATTGCCGAGAGAAAACTTTATCATGAACGCACGAATGGTCAATACTTGAAAAACCTTGATGAGTCAGCAAAAGCAGATGACGCAGAAGCAATTGGAAGTACGTAACATGTAATCAGAAGATATTCATTAAATTCTTTCAATGTCTAATATTATAAATATTAGACATCATAAATTATATTTAACAATTTTAAACCTAAATATAGTTACAATTCTCATAACCTAATCAATTATAACATTATATAAAAAAAACCGCAAAAAATTGGACTTTTAAAATAATGCTACTAAAATAATACTATTAAAATACTGACATTCCTATATTTCAATTTAGCACAGAAAAAGCGGCTTGCGATGTTAGATCTTTTAATAGCGGCATCTCGTGAAGGTTTGCTGACTGATTCAGATATTAGGGAAGAAGTCGACACTTTTATGGTTGCGGTATATATTTGTAATTTCTCTTGACTTTTTATATAATTATTTGGTATGTATATAATACAATA